ATACAAGATTAGACAAGTGTGAAATTCTTAAGAGCACCAGTTTGAAGTATCTTTTTACAAAGTAAACACTGATGTGTTTTTACAGCCTTGGGGAAATGACCACACAGGTAGCCTGTTAAATAGTCTTTCAAAGATGGCAAAATGGATGTGAATAATTTTGCTATGTTGTGAGAGAGAGACAGTGGCAGAAAGGGCAGTAGAGAGGTAGCAAAATGCAGAAGGTAAACTCCGCCATCATAGAGGCAGCTGCCTCTCCATCCACAGAGAGGCCTCCCAGGGGATGAAATACATTAAGTAAAACTGTTAAAGGATTATAAAATTACACTTCTCTGGCATGTGTTCTAGATCTTAAACAGATACTGCATTTAAGTATTGCTAGTCTACTGTTAGAAAATACTATCTTTTTACATAGTCATTGCTTGCTTTAAGTGAACTGAAATGTTCTTTAAATGCTTTTTGCCTCAATGCTTTTTCTGCTAACTACTAAAGTAGAACTTGCGTACAGATAGAGGAAACAGTAAATATCAGCTAAAATATTATCTAAAAATTATAGAATATGATATCACAATAAAAGTCATCAACCCATGTTCATTTTCTGGGGCTTGTAGATTTGTCTGTCTTAACTGCTGCAGAAAATTCATTTAGAACCATTGAGATAATAAATATACACATACACACACATATGTCTATCACTAGATATAGTGATGTTCGAGCTCTTACAGTAGCAGAACAGAGCAATTTGGCCATGTTGGAGAGAGGGATCATATTACCCCATGCAAATTTTAAACATCACAGGACTCTGGTATATTTTACTACTGTCTCTAGTCGAACTTTGTTATTATTTCTACCCTTGGACCTGCACTGGAGGGTAACTTTGGGGTTTAAAGCTAGATAATGATGATAACACCTTCATCTCATTTGCCCTCACTTTCAGTGGCTAACAGTGTGGATTTTGTTATAGTATGCAAAGGATGTTCATGGCTCTGATACTTTTCATCTCATTTCTTGACTTAACCCCCTGCAGTCCTTACTGAGTTCAATGAAACATGCCTGCGAAATCTTAACAAATGAGCCAGAAGGTGGAGCAGCTCCGATTCCCTTTGAAACATTCTCGTTCCTTTATTTGTATTTGGCCAGTATTGATGGAGAGATACCAGAGGATGAAACTGAAGCATTCCTCCACAAAATTAAAGAAGAAGCGTAAGTAGAAATCTGTGCATGGAATTTTAATGTATCGGTCACCTCTGAGTTCTCCATAAACCTTTAATTTCAGGTGAATAGTCTGTCTTCAGGCAGGCATGGCATAGCCATGATGTCAGGAATAAGTGTTGAGTAAGATTATATCAAAAAGTGTACATAGTTATTTTTTGTCAGCTTCATTGTTTGAACTGTTAAAAGATAAATTGTTATTTATCCATCTTTCTCTGAAATACTGAAGTAGCTGTCTGGTGGTATAATTTTCCCTGTAGGATGCAATTAAATAGAGGCATGTATCAGCTGTATATTACTGGTTCTGGAACCAGCAGCATCTTACGGGCTGCTCTTTTGATTTTATATAGGTCATAAACCAGAGAGGGAGAGATTGGCAGGTCTCTTATTTTATTCATAGTCACACATGGGTCACACAAAATACACTTGAACCAATTTAAAAAGATCCATAGCAGGCTTGTCCTCCAAGTGCTACCCGATGTAGCATGTTTGCGTACAGATGCTTACTCTTCCTACCGTCTGTCTGGAACTGGTCTTTCTGTGCCTGGTGGGCTGACCCTGGCTGAATGCCAGTTGCCCTCCAAAGCCACTCTGTCGCTCCACTCCTCAGCTGGACAGAGAAGAGAAAATATATGGAAGGCTTCTGGGTTGAGGTACGGGCAGGGAGACATCACTCAGCAGTCATTGTCACAGGCAAAACAGACTTGACTTGGAGAAATCAGTTTAATTTATTACCAATCCAATCACAGTAGGATAATAAGAAATAAAAATGAATCTTAAAACACCTTCCCCCAACCCTTCCCTTCTTCCTCCTCAAATTCACTCCCTATTTTCTTTCCCACCCACTACTTCAGCTGCACAGGGGAATGGGAATGGGGACTGTAGTCAATTCCTTACACATTGTCTCTGCTCCTTCCTCCTCAGATTTTTCACACATCCCTGGCTCCAGTGTGGGGTCCTCCCATGGGAGACAGTCCTCCAGGAACTTCTCCAACTTGAATCCTTCCCAAGGGCTGTAGTTCTTCACAAACTGCTCTAGCATAGGGTCCCTTTCATGGGATGCAGTCCTTCAGGAGCAGGCTGTCATAGTGTGGGTCCCCCATGGGGTTACAAGTTTGGCAAACCTGCTCCAGCATGGGCTCTTCTCTCCACAATGGCACAGATCCTGCCAGGAGCCTGCTCCAGTGAGTTTCCCATGGGGTCACAGTCTCCCTCAGGCATCCACCTGCTCTGGTGTGTCCTCTGTGGTCAGGAGGTGGATTTCTGCTCCCCTGTGGACCTCCATGGGCTGCCGGGGCACTGCTGCCTCACCCTGGTCTGAGCAACGGGCTGCAGGGGAATCTGTGCTCCAGTGCCTAGACCACCTCCTTCTCCTCCTTCCTCACTGGCTTTGGTGTCTGCAGGGCTGTTGGTCTCATATATTCCCACTCCTCTCTTCTCCAGCTGCAGTTGCAGTTTTTCTCCTCCCCTTCTTCAACACATTACCCCAGATGAGCTACCACCAGTGCTGCTGAGCTCGGCCTTGGCCAGTGGCAGGTCCGTCTTGGAGCTGGCTGGCATTGGCTCGAACAGGGGAGAAGCCTCTGTCAGAAGCTCACAGAAGCCACCACTGTAGTCCCTGCCTCCACTCCCCCAAAAAACCCTCTTGCCCCACAAACCCAGTACACTTAAGATTGCTATCAGCTCCATGTACATGGGAGCTCCAAAACACGAGCATACAAATGACCTGTTTCATTATTAGTTACCAGACTGACAATTTTAGTAAGAACAACCTTTTAATCACATCACTTTTGCTTGCAATTCATATAACCCTAAATTGTATCTTGTCCAGCACCCTAGGATTTACCATGTTAAAGTGCCATTCTAAAACACTTGGTTTATTCCTTTCCAGGGACAAACAATCTGGCATGGTGCTGATCAGACACTTTCTGCCACCGACCTTCATATTTTATTAATCAACCCTACTCTTCAGCATGAGGTGAGAGGGAATAAAAAAAGGAATAAATAAATTCAAGAAAAGAATTTGTGTTCAAAGTAAAGTACCATAATTTGCACATTCCAGTACAACAGGATCCTCTTCTCTGGCATTTCCTTTTCTTTGTCCCACTCTTGAAATGGCCCCTTAGGGGATGTTTATTGAATACATGGTTATATTGTTCTCCTGCCTCACAAATACCGATGCTTAGACCTGGGGACCATCCCTTCACTTACCCGCTAGTATTGAACAAAAGTTATTTTGTTCTGGATCTTCCCACTGATACTTTGTAAGTGATTGTAAGAAAAGAAGTAAAACACAGAATTAAATTTAGAGAAGACTGGACAACTGTAATTGGAGTGTTTCTCATTATGCTTCTGGTAGCACTGACTTTGACTCTTACATAAATACAGCTGGTCTTTTGACTACCTTGTTTGTGTGAGCAGCCTTTATTTAAATAAACTGTTTTACCAAGCCCTACTGAAAAAGAATTTAATGAGAACCCTGTGGCTGAGCTGCTTAACAAAACCACCTCAAGATCTGCAATGGTTCCGTATTGTTTTCCCTCCAATTAGGACTCTTTCAGAACTTATATATCTTTTTTCATTATTAGATGAACTTGTCTAATTAAGAATCTGTTTTAAAATATGTCCTGTTTTCTGACATGAAAAGCTACTGCATTTCTTGGAGCCCCTGGTGGTCCAGTGGTAAAGGCGCCGCGCTATCACCGCGGAGACCCGGGTTCGATTCCCGGTCAGGGCCACTCCCGGGCAGGTGGGGCTCGTTAGCCCTTAAAGGCAACCCACCTACGTCCTAAGGACCTCGCTGCCACTGTCCAAGCTCGCTTGGCCCCGGCAGATGAACCTTAGGATTAAAGGGTGGGCTCAGTTCCGCGCACACTGTGTCTCACCTAAAAAATCCAATGCGCAGGCTGGAAGGTGGAAAGACCTTCCCCGGATCTTCGCTCGCGAAGACTGGCCATTATTATTTTACACTTAACTGTAGAAATACCTGATGTATGAAACAGGATATTAGTGACTACAATAAAACTGGAGAGATTCCCTTTGATTGAGAAGGCCGAAACCAGGAGCACATGGACTGTCCTCTCCTGGCACCTTGATTGGACAGAAAAAAAATTGTAGGAAAGATGGACTTGCAGTGTTGTTCTTTTATAGCTGCTTACTTCCTTGAGGCAAGAAGCTTGGCTAATGGTGACTGACCTTGCTGAAGTAGTGTGTGAGGAATTAACAGAATTGCATACCCTTAATATATATGTTAATACATGTATATATGGCTTAAGTCTGTTTTATCAACTTCTATCACTATCGTTTGCGGAGTCCACAGGATGGGAACACCTCTTAGTTATTGCTGGAAGGAAATGGGTATGCCCCTGGTGTTTGAATATGGTACTCAGCAATATTTTAAGTGTCCTTGGTGCCTCCCCACTAGTTTCTGTGGAGAGCTATATTCTCATCATCTTTGCCAAATGACATTGATCCAAAATTTGTTTGAGTATGAGCTTGGGAACAGTAACTTTCATGTTATTGTCTACGACTAGCTGCAGTTGAAGATGTTTTAGTCTGTTGGAGAAGTCTGAAATATGCCCTCTGGTACATGCTGTAATTAGGCATAAGTACTGTGTTCCCAGAGGTGACAGTGTTAGGTAGGAGGGGAGCTCTCTTCATGCCTTTTCTGTTTGTAACTGATCCTGGACTCGAGGGATTAGCTCTGTTCTGTATGCACTATGGGCCAGGAAGGTCAATTAGTACAGCCTCTTACACATTTTATTTTTCAGCCTTGTCAGACTAAACTCAAATACACGAAAAGTCAATATAATTTATTAAAAGATGCGCAAATGTTACAGATTTACACATTTTCTGCTATATACTGCTTCCATTCTGGCAAACCTTAACACTTTTTTTCTCAAAGCACAGCCATGATGCAATATCAGCATCATGTGCACAGCGTTACTGTCCTAAGCACAACAGCAGTAGCAACAGTTCTTGTGCAAGTAATTTTTTGAACAGCTGACAAACAAAATAATCAGGTTATTGCTTCTACTTCCTTCGTTTATGCCTGTGATACTTGTCTTCATCCCTGAAACAAAAACACAAACATTGTGTGGGCTGTTAGGCTCAGAGTCTGAAGGGAAAAAAACCCAACTTGTAAAATGGGAAGCTCTCATTAAATGTAGTCATGTTCTCTGCTAATGAAAGAAAGTAAGCTACTTTAAGACAGTTTATTTCCCATGTTGCTTTAATCAAAGCCTTCTCATGCAATGCAGAGAGGCAGTTACTTTAGGATGAATGACATCACGGTGTAATGAAGCCAGCTTTGACAGAAGCAATCATTGCCATCCATGCACTTACCTAACAGCATTTACATTCTAGGGACAGTGCAGCATTTCTTCTGCACAACAGCACAAGTCTTTGCTTAAAGACAGGTTCTATACACCTACAGTCCTGTAGATGTAAATATATCCTTGCTGATGGTATTAGAAGGTGTGGCCTAAATTTGTTTTCTTTTGCTTAAAAATACATCCAGAAATACTGAAGAGCAACCGCAGTTTAGAAGCGCCTACCATAAAAAAGCTGGTCAACTGACTGTGTATGCATATTAGTGAAACAAATAATCCTATTTACTAAGTTCCAGTGTGAACCAGAGCAGAAATTAGCATTAGACATGACAAGCACACTTAGCTGTGGATGAGGGACATACTGTCCATGTAACCATGTTGATGAAGGAGTAAAATAGTCTGTGACAGTACTGTATTACTCCTGCAATATGCTGTTGGAAGCGCCACTTTTCAGATGTGAGAGTAAATTCTGAAGTCTGGATTGCAGTTGGTGGTCTCACAGCATGTTTTGTTTAGTGTTAGTAGCCTCATGACTTGACATACTGCACATAAGGTTAACCTAGCTTGTTTACTGGACTAGGTATTCTTGTTCTCTACACTAAAATTTCACAGACAGTGGTTGTGGCTGCCTGATTCAGAAGCAGGAGTCAGCTGTCCCTGTTTATGCTCACCTCTCTCTTTTTCTCCGAGAGTCTCTGTCTTTGCCTCTTTCATGACTCCTTCTTCGTTTACTTGGACTCCTGCTGGTGTCTCTCCTGTGTCTTGAGCATTCAATATCCTTACTGCTTTCCCCAGACTGCCGTGAGTCCACTGAAGCTGACCGCCTGTCTTCCCTTCTGAAAAAAGGTTATCGATTTTAGTCAATAACAATAGTTTCAGAGTTGCTTTTGGTTTCAGTATCAGTTTTGTAATATAATGACCTAATAACAATGTAAGACAGAGGACATACCTTTTATTAAGCCTCTCTCTCTCCCTTGGAAATACCGTTACCTCCCAAAAGAAGCCCAAAGTCTATGTTTTTATATATCCACATCTCAGCACATGATTTAATTCAGGTATTTTCTTACAAACACTGCCCCTCAGTCTTAACACCTCTGCTTATGAAACAAAGCAATAGAAGGGGTTCACTCTGTTTTGCTCTAAATCCTGAACTATTCAACTACCTGCCTTAAGCTGCTACCTGCAGTCAGAGAACCCAGCAGGCCCAATCTCAGGGAGTCACAGAATCGTTAGTGTTGGAAGGGACCTCTGGAGATCATCCAGTCCAACCGACCTGCCAAGGAAGGGTCAGCTAGAGCAAGTTACACAGGAACACATCCAGGTGGGTTTTGAGTGTCTCCAGAGAGGGAGACTCCTGGGCACCCTGTTCCAGTGCTCTGGCCACCCATTAATCTTCATTTTAATGCTGGAAAGAGTGTCACCTTTTAGTTTGTTTCAAAAATATTCTCATCTCAAAGATCTGCTGAAGATGCACAAACAAATACACTCTCACTAGTCCAAAATTTCATTTTTATTTCAGTGACAAATGTTTGAAAGAGTGCGCAGTGTTGCTTGACATAGGAAGAAATATGTATAGATAAAACACTTTCAGTTAGCACAGCAGCATTCACACTGATAAGAACTGTAAAGGCTTCCCATATTTAGTATGTTATGGAAACCTTTTACTCTGAGGTATAATATATCTACCCCAGCATTTCTGTCATGTGGTAGAGAAGGGGAAGAAATTGCGTACCTTTATTTCCAAGTGTCCTTCTGTACCCAGCTACTACATTTATACACACTTGGATACAGAGGGAGCTTGGATTTACTTGGATTCATTTCCCAGCTCCAGCAGAAATTACCTGTTCACCTGAATCACTTGCAACTTACCTACTTACCCCTGAAAGAAAAATACTTACTAATTTTTTCCCCATCCTTCCTGCAGGCAGAGCTTCTCAAGTAAGACTTACTAGAATTAGTATAAAATAAACTGTGTATGTCTCAGACAAGGCTGGTATGTGCTATGAGAAGAAGGTGGTAAAATGAAATTACAAGCTTCAATCTGCTCACATGCCCGAAGAATCCGTCAGCTCTGGCATACCTTCCTGAAGATTTCGACTTCCCTCCTTCACATATCTCTGCATTATCCAACCTGTTCTCCTCCTGCCACTGATTGCTGAGTTCTTCCATATGGACACCAATCACATCCCGAATCACCTGGAGATTAAGATACATTAAAAATTAATATTTCACGGTAGTGGCCTCGACTAGGAACTAGACAGAAAGTAACATCTCAAAAAAAACCCAAAACACCCAAAGATCTTCCCCAAACCCTATACATCAGATGTCTGAATGGAAAGTCTTATTTGATGAAAGATGTTTCTGTATAAATTTAAATAGCACCATTTTATAATAGTCAACTATATCTTGCTGGCATTTTCACATTCAAAACCTGGCAGTTAGGAATGCTCCTGTTATTTGTAGTTTGCTGCAGCAAACCAAAATCCAAAAATATTCCTCTATAATTTGCAACAATAATAAAGCTAGGTACAAGAAGTGGAGAAAGACACATACTCTTTGTCTTTGATAGAGTATATAATTGTTTATGCTGATACATAATAAGCACTTTTGTGCAAAAAAGCCTTTATTTTCAGATCTTACCTCAGTGTAAGACTTCTTTGTTATATGAACATTCTTAGCCCTGTATGACTGCCGCCGCCTTTTGTAATCTCGCATTTCAGCCAGAATTTCAAGATGGGACTTGGGACCTTTCTGACTATCATCTAGAGAAATTGGAAGTGAAACAGATGGCCGTTAGCAGGACATTAGCAGGTCTGATACTTTCAGGAACATAAAATACATTGTGTCCTTTCTGAAATTTCTCCAGCACTTAGTAACTATTATGAATTTCGCACAAGCTTCCTCTCCAGCCTTCATGCTAGCTTGTTTACGTGACTAAAAAGACACCAAGCTAACACTGTTATGGGATCTCAGTCTCCTAACCGTGACCCAGTGGGTTTGCAATTTGGGCTTGCAATTTGATCAAACACCTACTAAATAAGGGTCATGTTTTCCAACCCATTATTACAATAAGAGCCAAAGACTGCAAAAGCCAGATTCTGAAAAACATTTACCCGTGTAGATGACAAGCACCATCTCCTACCTTCCAGGCACACCAGGGCCCACAAGGTGACACAGATGCTTAATGCTGCATAGGTAGCTACAAACTGGCATGACTCAACAGGGATGAGAGGCCTCGGTCCAATACACCCATTTGCATACTGCTCAAGAGCTCCACTTGGATGACAGCCAACCTTTCCCATTCTTTTACTCTTAAGTGACCTTTAGTCTTGCCATCTCTTATAGCAAATACTGTTCTGAGCTGCACAGCAAGTTGGCAACATTAAACAACCCAAAGTCAGTTGCAGCAAGGACAGAAGATCCATCCACTGAGAGACACGTGTGCCAAGAGCAGAGCAATGAGGCTTTCCCAGAAGGAAAATATCATAAAGAACACCAAACTAGTGTTTTCTGATGCCAGATCTTTGCTGTGGCTTTTAAGAACAGTATGCTTTCCACAAGAAAAACAGCACAGTCAATTTCTTTTGGCTTTCAACAAAGCTCATCTAACTAGACAAACTGAAAGTCATAAATTCAACAACAGATTGTTCTTCAAACCTTGGGTGATTTTCGCTGCTAAATCCACAAAGAGATCACTATCATTTTCCATTATTTGGGATCTAGATCTCTGTTTCTTTGTTTCCTCAACAACATAATCATAAAGAGCAAGGCGGTCAGCTTGAGTGAGGTCACAGGTGAACCGCTTGTGATTTTGAGGAACTTCTACAGGCAGCAATGAGTAAGATCCTGGAGGTTGAACAGAGAGCTGTTATCAGTAAAAGAGCATAATTATACAGGAAAACACTGAGAAGCTCAACAAACAATGCAGTGATCACCCATGCTGTTTTCATCCTTCATCTATGTATCTGTAAGAAATGTCAACCTTCTTAATTTGAAAGGATAAAAGACTGCTCAAAGGAAAAAGAAAGGCCCAAATCCCTCCCAAGGCCCACACAGGCTGTATAGCCCCTCTTGACTGCTTACACACATACAGGTTTTCATATGCCATGAAGGAATCATAGTAGATCAGATTAAAAGGATATTGTCCCATCAATTTCAGCTCTTGGCTTACAAGCTAAAGCAAGAGAGGCTTCAGCTCTAACTTTGTGGGCTTATTTTACCCCTAAAATGTTGTGTAAAGTACTAGCTGCAAAACACCTGTTCTGACAACAAGGATGACAAGTTCTAGACTAGATAACTGACCATTGTGCAAATCAGTCTCATTCACACTGTCACCTTCTCTACAGAGCTTTTACAATAGACTGCCACAGGATTTAAAGCTAAACGGGCAACAAAGGCACTTTCAAAGTGTTCCAGACTGGTTCAGATAACTAACTTTAAAGTTACGGAAACAAACACTGCACACAAACTGCCTGCACACTCCTCTTTCCTGAATGATCAGCCCAGTACTCGCTTTTCCCATTCCCCGGTTAAAACACATATCCCTCCAAACAAATACATCCATTCTCAGTCTCTTGCAACAGCAGCAAAGTGACTTCCCTAAAGACACAGGATGCAGTATTCTAGAATACTGCCTGCAAAAAAAGGCATTTTATTCAAAAACATTCAAATTTCCAGCAACCACTGACCTGACCTCCATAATCCTGCTCCCCACAACACAACTTTCTTCCTGCAAGGCACAATCCCGTACCTCCAAGAAGACAGAAGAGCCAACACATAAGATGGGATGTTTGCAGGAGCATTTACAACAGCAGAACTAGTGCTTCTCTAGATTATTCAGGTCTTAAGGGAAGCTGGGCAATCTTTCACATCCTGCTTTCACTAAAGGCACCTCTTTCTAGAGGAGCCACGATAACTCTACAAACAAACCTAAAATACAAGATTTCATCATTACTATACTTAGACCCTAAACCAGAACTGTTCTAATATGAAAAAATGGATTTAAACACACACAAAAAAATAGAATTCTGTTCTTAAAATGCACCGTTCTTACAGGGTCACCGAAGTCCATAAAAATGCCCCAAGTTACGTGCTTGTGATTTTACAAGAACTTAATGACTTTTGATTAGGACCAGTTTTGCTGTTCTACAATGTAGCTAAGCTAATGTTCTAATGAGGGTTAGAATTAAAAAAACAAAACAAAGAAAGAAAATTATTTTCTTTGATCTAGTTAGTCAAAAGGAAATTTACAATAAAAAATTATTTTAATTTGTTTTCATTGCTAAAGACTTTAAATTTAACAAACAATTCCAAGTCAGGAATCTTATAGAGCCTCAAGATGCCACAACCAAAACCAACTCAATACAGTTTTAGTGTCACCCTTGGAGAAAGGCAAGCTTGCAGAGAAAACGGGACAGCAAACACTGGCATCTAGTGGCTCACTGGTGTATCTTTGCAATGAAACACTTCACAAAGGGCCTGCCTGTTCTCTAGTTGGATGTGCTTGTGTCAAATTAATGAGCTACCATTTCCCTCCAGCGGAAATGCACCTGGTGTGCTCCAAACACAGTGCCCATCCCATGAAAGCTCCTTCCCAGGCAACTGTCCATTAAGCCATTTGCTATGCCAGAGAAACAAAGACAAGATGAAAGACTATGCCCGAGCAAGCGTATTTCCCTGTCAGGAAAGCTGAACAAATGCACTTTTCCTTTAACAAACTAAAGTCTACAGAGAGGAAATGCTTTATCTTTGAGGTGTTGCAGTAATTTCTCAACCATACACTGCAGCTCTACAGTTTCTGTAGGTAGCCTTACTTCTCTACTTTGTCTTGGCCTGAACTCTTGAACAAGACTCTCTAAGTCTTAAACTGGTTCTCAGGCTGGTCATAAAAACCACCAAAAAATAAAACGTAAATGCACTAATGAGCTTGGAGAGGTGGCAAAGGACAATATTACATTTGCAGATGTGTCAGCATAGTTCTTACGCAGCTTCTTAGGAGAGTCTTGAAACAGTCCAACGTATGCAAGTTGTTTGCTTTTTGATCTGAGGAGTGGTCAGATCTGTGGACAAGCCCACATGGCTCACATCTACCAATTAATCCCTAAACAAAATGTTACATGAAGAACAAGGCTGGAGGCACCATTAGAAGAGACTGGGCCACAAGGAACACAGAAGGAAATGTAGGCAGAAAGTAAAGCGTAGGCAGTGGGATGGGAGCAAAGGACTAATCCTTTAAGAAACTCCTGAGTTTTGCAGTGTTGATTTTACAGTCCTGAAGATAACCAGAGGTGTGAGCACAACAGAGTCAAATTCTCTTTATCTAGTTGCCCAAGTATAGAAAACAGTTATGCTCTAAGGTACACAAAGGAAGGAGTATTAAAAAAAATTAAATTCCTTGCAGCAGTTCATAGTGGAATGAAGGAAGCTGCAAGGAGGGACAGAACAGCAGCTCTTGTTGTCTCAGTATCTGCTTACTACTTACCTTCACTGTAGCCTGTGCCTTCCTTGGTGCTTTGAGCTCTAGCCTGCTTAACAATGTGAAACTGTAGATCTTTATCTGCAGACAGAGAAAAAAAGTATCATAGAACCTCTACATCAAGTTCTTGAGTACTTGATCATGTCAGTCTTTATTCCCCAAACTCTATCATGAGAGTTATGGTATGGTACAGAACATCACAGTTCTATTGATGTATAAGGGAACATATGAACTAAAAATACAATTCTAATGTATTCCACATTTGAAATGAGGAGAAAAAAAAAAAGGAGAAAAAAGAAGCACTTCTGGGCTACAGGGATACGGAGTAGAATTATACAGTGATAGAAGCATAAAGAGGGTAAATTAAGGCAAATAACAAATTACAATCTGAGAAAATAAACCTCCTGATGGGAACGCTCGGGGTTTTCAGGAGACTTCGGAGAGCTTACAGCCGACAAGGCAGTGGGATGTGCTACTGTGAGGGCCTCTGCCCCATGGGGCCTCCCCATGCTCCGTGCCCTCCCGGGGTCCCCCCTCACCCCTAGCTGTGTGTGACGCCGCGCCAGCCGAAGCCCCCCCTGGCGCTCACCCATGGCGACGGTGGGAACCTTCGCCTTTTCGTAGAAAAAGCTGGAGTCGTACATCTCGGCCTGCGGGACCAAAGGGCTCGGTCAAGGCCAGCCGGGCAGGCTGCACCCCAGGGCAGCAGCGCCAGCCCCGCGTCCGCCTTCCCGCGCCCGGCTCCCACCTCCTCCTCGGCGGAGTATCCCATCTTGCGGAGCCGGCAGGACGCCGCGTGCCTCTCCAGCGACGCGCGGGGGACGCGGTGATGGGCGTCGTAGGGACACAGCGCCCACTCCACCTGCCGACGGGACACGGGTCAGATCAGGTCAGCCCCACGCCGCCGCCGCCCACCGCCGAGCCCCCGCCGCCTTACCGAGTCCCCGCCGAGCCACACGGCGCTGGGCGCCGCCATCGCTGCGCCGCTCGGGCGGCCCCGTGAGCGCGGCGGGGGCGGAGCCGGCGCCACCTTCGCCGAGGGCGCTCCTGGTACAGGGGACGGAGCTGCTCCTTCCTGGCGCGGGCAGGCGGCGGGAAACCCGAGGAAGAGCCGGGGAAGGGGGTGTGTGTGTTTGTGACCGAACCCCTTAGAATTTGAATAGGGTTGTGGTTTTTTGTTTGTTTTCGTTTTGTTTTTGGTTTTTTTTAAATTATTTAGCAGCTAGTAGCTGAACAGTTACGATTAAGCAGCTGCGTTGTGAGCATCGTACGCTTGGCTAGTCTTTTGTTTTAAGGAAGAGGGAAGAAGACCGTCCCAAGGTGGATGGGCCGTATGGAGCACCAGGAGCGATGCCAGCAGGACTGAGCAGGAAGTGCGGGAATGGCAGTTCCGGCAGTGGGCGGTCGCGACCACGTGCTCAGAGCGGAACCCAGACCCAAACGGAGGGGAGAACTGCGCCCGTGGGCTAATTGGCACGAGAAGGGAGAGATGTAACTCGCAAAGAGGGGGTTGGCTGGTAATTAGTAGAAAAGTTACGTAATTTGCAACCAGCGAGGGCTGATGCCTCTGTTTGTTTTAAAAATGTATAAACAACGTAAAGTGCTGGTGATCGGTGAGCCAGCCTTCCGTGGGTTGCCGCCCAGCTCCCTAAGGGAATAAAACGTAGGAGAAGTGCGAGTACTGGCACCGGCACTAGGCCGACACGGCGGGCGGGCGCCCCCTGCCGGCGGGAGGGCGCCGCGGGGCCGGGCAGGGGCCGCGCTCGGCACTCTGAAATGGCGCTGCGGGGCCTCGACTCGTCTCCGAGGGGGCAGCAAGGGCAGCCGGCTCTCTTTTCACGACACCCAGCCCTGACGTGCACCCCGGCTTTAGCAAGGGTTTCTCTCCCGAGCGCAGATCGTGCCCGCTTGGGCGCCCCGGAGCACCCAGAGCGCTGCCCCTGATAGCGGCGGGGCAGGAGGAGCATCGGCCCCTGCCGACGCCATCGAGCCCCTGATGCCCGAGTCCCTCCTGCAGCGTGACGAATGCGGTGCTAGACGGAGGCCCCTCCGGCAGCCTCCTGCTCCAGGCTGCGTGAGGGGATCCCTAAGGAGCAGGCTGTGCAGTGCAGAACCAGGATGTGTTTCTCCCTTGTGGAGCACAGGTGCGGTGTCGGTGTGGGGGAGCTGCGTGGCTGCTGCAGACCCCAGACACCAGCGACCGTGCCCCTTACTTGGCCGTAATTCTGAGAGCATTTTCCCTAGAGGCTGAGGGAGCATTAAGACTCAATAAAACTGTAACGCAGCTGAAAGAAGGACCATCTTAAGGAATAAATTTCACATGATTGACGTTTGTGCTTGCCTATTTTTGTCGTCTATGAGCAAAGCACACATATGCCTAGAAGGAAGAGTGGGTCTATCAAGGCAGGGCGAGGGAGAGGCAGCATGACAGATGTAACTGCCAGAATGACTCTGTACATCTGCTTTCTTTAGCAGATTACAGCCCTTTCTCTCCAGCACAGTGAATTTGAGACTGAGTTGGGATTTTAGCTCTTTGAGAGATTTGCTGTCTCTAGCTATGTCTTCCTGAGGATCTTTGACTTCACATGATAGAGGATACTAGTAGTGAAGACTTCCCAGCTGCCCTTGCAATTACATATATGCCTTACTGGAGTAACATTAGCATATTTTATCCAAAGAGTAATAAGAACAGCTCTGCAAAATTGTTCTGATCATCTCCACTGGAAAATACTGTTTCTTCCAAAATTATGAAAGTCAGGCTCAACAAAGCATCCAAGCAGATTTTTTTTTTTTAAGAGTAAAGATTAAACAACAATTTGATTTTGTTTACTTGTAAGTTCAATTGATAAAAATCAGAATAGATGTTTTCCTTTGCTAAACAACAACGTTTTCAGTGATCCAAAATTACCACAGTTTTTCAGCTACCAGCTACCAATAGTCTTTCCCACGTGCTAATCTGCAGTCTGTGGCATACCCTCTTCTCCTGCACCTTAGCTCTGTGGTGGCTGCAGCCCAACAGTCTTGTCATCAAACAACATAGTTAATAATGTAAGTTTACCACATCTCAGTCTCCATGGTCCCTTCTGAGAAGGAGAAAGGAAGCTCCATAGCTGCATTTCCCCAAGCATGACTGGCTTGCAGCTTCCCAGAATGGGGGTGGTTGAGCATGATCCAGCCCCTTTGCAGAGCTGCAATGCTGAGCATGTGAGTAATCTGGTCTTGTTGTAGATGCTCTTTCTGGACAATATTGATCTCTAACAAAAGTCTCTGGAAACTAGCCCCAAATACCCTCACAGTGCAGGACAGTCCTGAACTGTGGGAAAAGCAGAAGGTACAACAGGGAATTAGTTTATACATTATGCCAACATTAGACCATACAGCACTCCTGGAGAACTCCTTAAACATACCACCTTGTGCTTTCCTCCAGATGGAATTTATATTGCTAGATACTCCAACTGTTGGCACATCAGGAACCACCTAGCTTAGGACCATACCCAGAGGCAGGTACCTCAACACAGGTTGAGTGATCCCATCCCAGCAAAGCCTCTTGGTACCCCCAAGAGTGCCAGGTTGAAACCGTTCTAAAATCACACTGGTCTTAAGGTCCAAACCTTTTAACAGGTAATGCAACAGGAGTGGGAGGCTCATCCTGAGCAACAAAACCCTTTCCCACATGGCTGACACAGGGAGAAATGTCCCTCACCCATTGCTTGTGTTTGTTTTTGCCTTCACTGATAACAAAATCTTGCAGGCTTTCTGCAGCCAATTATTTATTTAGAAGTATATTGACTCCTTGAATAAAATTAATTTTTCTCTAACATCGAAAAAAGACAGTTTTCATGTTTAGCATTCCTTCTATTCCTTAGACGCAAAACACTGCTTGTAGTGTTGTATTGTGTTCACAGCTCCCCCTGGAAGTGAGGGAAAAAATGTGAAAGCTCAAATTAATAATTTTTTAAAACATGCCTCTGGTAAAGAGAAATCCAATAAGCTTTATAACAGCTTTTTCAATCCTTACCACATTCAGCATGGAGATTTCTGGATGAGGAAAGGGCCAGGGAGCAAGGGAAAGCAAGCTGAAGGATGAAGTGAAACTATCCAAAAGCCAGAATGGAAGGAGCCTGGCTTATGGCCTCAGACAGCCCATGCAGGTAGAAAAGATAGCTTTGGACCTGCAACTGTGACAGATTTTTGCTGGTTCCACATCAGGATGTTTGGTGGAGTTGCAGCCAAGATCTCTGCATCTTTGCAAAGGGTATTGTGTAAGCAGCCAGCACCTGGCAGACCACAATCTGTCCTGCAACAGGGAATTGCTCTCCCAGGGTACATGCCATGCAGAAACTGCCTCATCCCTAGGGCATCTTAAACTGCAGCTGCTTTGTTAACACTCACCCATTGGACTGCAGGAATAGGGGATGTTGAATAGGGAGATGAAGGGACCCAGCACCCTGGTGGTAAGATCGACTGCATCACCTGAGAGCAGCTCTGGTAATTTGCCTTTCTAGTGATGCCACCTCTTCTCCCTTGCCCCTGGAGCCCATGTGTCAAACTCTTTTTCTCCAGGGAATGATTGTGGTATCCAGGCTGGTAGTATGGGTGTCACTCAGCAAAAGCAACTGAACTGGAGGGAGATTTTGTAAAGATGAAGCACACAGATGCATTAATTTAAATTTGTTTTGTCATTGTTGCTATTACTCTCTTCTACTTTACACTTTAGTTGAGACACTGCACTCAAAATCTGTAGCATAAACCCAGATGAATCAGCTTTGTAATCTACAGAGACATGTGGTGAAATTCTCTAGTGTGTAGGAATCGATTTAGTGAGATATCCTCTATGACATAGGCAGATTTTGCAAAATTCACCAGATACCTGACCAGAGTTTAATTTCCATCATTTGCTGTCTGAGTTCTACTTTTGTTGCCATCCCAGCTCATGCTGAAGTGCCAGTGTGGAGCACTACAGGTGCTGATGGCAACCAGAGAAGTGAGAGAATGCTCAGACCTCACTGGTTTCTCCGCTAGGGTAATGCAACTGATTTAATCCTTCAGCTGTGTACCACTCAGAGCATGCTGCAAGTCCTTGGCTTCTGGATCTTGATGCTTATTCTTTTGTGACTTAGTCGAGTTCACAATTACAGACTAAGGTGTATTTTACAAGGAGCAGTGCACTGGGCAATTCCAAATCGATTTACAGGCGGCAACTCTAGCACCTGTTAATGCTTTATTGATTCCTCTATCTCCATGTGATCTCTCATGGATTCATCAGATTTAGATCAGTTTATCCTTATCTTTCAAGATAAAGCATGGTGTTCTCACTTGATGGAGGTGCAAATTCATTGTTAAACATCCAGAAGTAAATCCAATGCCCTTTTGCACACAAAAGTTCTAATATATGTGTTTTGGAGCCTGCATGGGTTTTTCCTCTTTAAGCTGTAGCCCCTTCACAGTTGCTGCACAGCAGTTCTTGATCCTTTGCCTGCTCCCTCCTCTGCCCTTCCCTTCTGTGAGCTTTCCGACTGGGCAGTATCTGCTGCCTGCTCAGAGCCAAGGTTCCTTTCCTGCCTTTTCCTCCTAAGTTGTTAATGGCCTGGTGGGCATTATTAATTATTTAATTAATTTTTCATTCCTTAACACCCATTGTGATTAAGCATAATCGATGTGAAAAATGAGAGCCTCTTCCATACATTTTGTCATAAATACTGCTGAGAAGGAAACCAGCTAAACGAAAATGTGGCCATTACTGTGGAAACTGGTAACTTCTGGCAAGTGACTTGGCCTCTGTTTTTGGTTTGCTGGGCCAGTGCCCTGCTTGCCACTGGCATGGAGACCCTTCAGCACAGAGCTCCTTGTGCTCTTTGCCAGGAAGCACAGAAGAGCCTGTGGTTTTCTTTTAAAAGCATGCTATTGACGTCCAGTTGTTGTCTGCTTGAATTAAGAGATAAGAATGTACTTATCTGCTTGCTCTTTCTGTGAGTCAGTCTTCTTGGAGAGTCTTTACGGCTGTGTGCCTGACGTGAGGCTGTTGCCTTACTTTCTTGCTCGGCAGGGAGCTCCTGTGCTGCCTAGAACCCCACGTCACGCTGCGAGCTGCTGTGTTCCACTGACCGGGGTTGCAAAGCCACCGCCAGGGTCAGCCAGCTGATGCCAGTGAAGAGGCAGCCTCACATCAGCCATAATCGTATAAACACACACCCCTTCTGGCAATACCAACATGTAATCTGGCTGCACGTGGCCTCAGGTGGCAGCCCCAAAGGCATTGCCATGAGGGCAGGTGTAGAGGATTTGGGAGAGATGTGAGGAAGGCTGGAGCGAGGCCTCCTTTGTCAATTCATAAAACAGGATTTTAAACGAAGGTACTGTCTGTGTTCAATATGAATGATCACTTACCAGTGATGCTCTCTGGGAGGGTCTGAGAGCATGGTCGCAGTGTCCCATGGGCAGAGGATAGCAGAGGCATAGTAACATGTGGCCACCTTCAAAAATATGTGTTTTACTTCCACTG